AGAATCATGAGGCTATAGATGTCAGGAGAGGGTTGGACAACTGCTGCTGCTGTTTTGCGAAATTAGAGTCTGGGCGAGGACCTAAGCTTTCAACCCCCCCCCTCTCTCCCTTTTTCCAGCTGACCAATTGTGCTGTATGGTACTTTTTCTTTCTTTTTTTTTCCTGTCCCCCCCCCCTCCCCCCCTCCCGTCATAAACCGGTTGTAATGGACCTGGCTCTGTATCCATTCTGGGGCAGTCAAGTCTCTTTCTATTCTTTTCTTTCTTGGCAAAACTCAGATTTGGAGATAGTCTGAATCACAGGGGTTATAGACCTATCCCTGCAGTCTCGAGTCTCCATCTGTCGGTGGGGAGGTGTTCACCCGCTGACAATCGGGACCAGCGTGATTTTGTACTTTGTTCAAGTGCCAAGTCGGGGTCCATTGCTACAAGAATTCTCGGGGTGTTTTCCTTGGAGGTGAAAGGGTGGCCACCATCCATTACTTCAGTTGGAATCACTTCCACCAAGGGGGACATAGCTTCAGCTGTTGGGACTCAGCGCTACTGGGAGCCTATTATGTTGATTCTGTTGGCTTCTTGACCCTGAGGTTTCCGGACCTTGTCCGGTTGATGTAGTTCATTGATTTCCGGCGGCTGTCAGTTGTCCTCGGTTGCATAGATCACGATTTGATGATGCCCGGGAGCTGCCACAATTTTTTATTTTGCAGCCTTGTTGGGTCTGGCGCTGTGAAGTCACTGAACCTATGTGTGTCCCTGTGCTGAAGGGAGTGGCGGTTTTGGAAGCCTGCCCTGATGTAGTGGATATATAATTGGCTATGCCATTCTTACATTCTTCTCGTGCTGCTGTGCTACGTCCGCTTGGATTTAGTGGAGATATAGGGCCTCACCACACCACAGTCGAAAGGCCAAAAAAATTGACGGCTGTCAGAACAAATTCGACAGCCTCCATTCGACAGTTTGCCCCCCCCTCGCCACACAGCGCTGTAGGGTGCACGCACTTGTGAAAGCAAGATGGAAAAAGACCAACACGCCTGAGGGTACGACAAGCATCAGTCCATCCCGACCTTACCCCCACTCACCAAATTTTGACAAGCGTCAGTCCATCCCGACCTTACCCCCACTCACCAAATTTCGAAGCGAAGTCGATGGCGCAGCCGAGCAGTGTCGAAAGCATCGGAGTAGCAGGCTGGGGATTCAGCGACTTTCGACAGGAGGTGTCGAGAAGCATTCTCTGACAACTTGCAAATTTTCTTCTCGTCTCCGACTTCGACAGCCTGTGTGGCCAAGAGGAACTGTCGAAAATCGCATTTTCGACAGTGGTGCGGCGAGGCCCATAGTCTGCGTCCTTGCTAAAAGTGCTGGAAACGTTGTCCCCATTGACACTGCCATTTAAGATCATGAATGAAGTATCCGGTTTCTTCAACTTCCTTGCTAATACTGACAAGTTTATCATGTACTGAGTTGGTACTCTTTCGTGTTTTTTGCGGCATATAAATTTAGCTACAAGTAGCTTGTCCTCTTTCAGTGGACCATTTTCTGGCAGTCGTCCTCAACGGGCGCTTTGCATCGGTTGTTGACGATCGGCATTTTCAGTTTTGTCGGATGACAGGTGGTGAAGATTGTGGATTATGATGTTAATTCTTTCTATTTTAAATCCCGTCCATGTGGGCTCGCTGTTTGTCGAATGAGATGTATGCCTGCTAGTGCTCCTTGCCCCCTTGGCTGAGTTTGAGTTCCCGCATGCTAAAGAATCAGCCTCAGGGAAGTGGTGGGTTTCTGGCAGTGGCATTGTTGGTGGCGGTAAATCAGGCACACAATGTTAAATGAAACATTTTCTATTTTTGGTTTGTTTAATTCCTGCAGGATTCACTTGGTGGGAACAGCCGGACATGTATGATTGCATGCATCAGGTATTGTATCTGCAATCTAATGACACAAATGCAGAACCCGATGCTGAACTCGATGCTGTTCCTGAGGTTGTATCATGCGCACAAAAAGTACACGTGCCGTGGACTGTGCTAACTGTCGTTGTGCACCGCACATTGCGCATATGAAAGAAAAGAAGAGCATAACTAAAGAAAGTAATGGAAATAACTAAAAGATTTATTCCAAGCAACATTTGCCTAGACCAGTATCCCAGAAGATCTATCTTTGTTGAAGAAATGACTTTGTTGAAATTAAAGGTGTAAGGACCTGCCCAAACATGGACTGAGAACACAGCTGATTTCTGAGTTCTGCCGCTAGAATAAATGCTTTGCTGAGATTCCCGCTTTGTGCTGAGTTTTTCTAAGTCTGTCTGTGTGTCTGCCCTGGTCTGGCCCAGCTACTTGTAGGGCCGAGCCTCGCTACGGCGGCCTTCCAGGCCACAAGTACAATTTGAGGCAGCACGCATTTATTTATTTATTGATGTATGTCCTGTCCTACTTTTGTCTGTCCAGACGTCGTTTCGGACTTGCAGTCCCCAAGGCACGGCCTTGGGCTGGGTGCACCGGAGGCAGGGCCAAAAAGGCCCAGGCACATGTCTGCGCCTTGCTGCATCAGCAGCACGGTCTGGGCACCCAGTAGGGTCCCCGACCATGCCGGCCGTTTTAGGCCACACAGCAGTGCACCCAGTAGGGCCCAGCGCGGTATATAGCTGGGCCACGACCTGGGCAGACACACAGTTGGGTAGCTCACTTCTCAAGCGACACGCTGCTGGTTAGGCGCTGCGCTGCAAGGTTGGAGTAGAGGCGTAGGAGGCAGAGGGGCAGAGGCCATACCTGCCGCGGCGGACATACCTGGCACCATAGCTGGGACTCCACCCGGTACCTGCACAAGACGACCACGACACGACAGTAAGTGCGTGGCAGCAGTTACCTGCAGCTGAGACAGCAAGGAGGACGACATCTTCTCCTTTCTCGCCCTCCATCTTATCTCCCTCTCTCCTCCTTGCTCCTTCTTCTTCCCATAGAGAGAGAGAGGTTACAGGAAGAGGTTACAACCGGCATAGCGCCCAGGATCTGATCCGACATTTTTGAGGCAGACATTGATTGGACATTCGGCAAGGAACTATCTTTGGACTTCGCTATCGCGATCTTGGTCTTCGCCCTCGCCTCCATCTTCGTCTCGCCTCTCCCCCCATTCCTCATCCGTGGTATCTCCCTCGTGTGTGTACAAGGAGGGACCTTTCTTCTATGTGTGCGGTCCCTCCTCCTCTCACATGTGTGGTGTATGATGGGATGTCGCGCCAGTCCCGCTCAGGTCAGGACTTATCTTTGAGTCTTCCACTGCGCTACTTTGTGCCATTTTGAATGTATCAGGATGTACATTGCTTGTTGATGTTTCGCGTACAGTGCATTGTCCATTCAGCTCTTTTTATCACATTGCGGATCCTTGCCTCCATAAGCATTGCCCAACCGGGCATGTATCAGTTGGTATTGGAGCCCCGCACATGAATCAGGACAAACCTGATCTGACACGCGTGCAGGGACCATTGATTGATTGATTGATTGATTGATTGATTGATTAGGTCATACTAATTCATCCCCAAAATTACTAATTTTTTATCTACCTGCCAAAATCGATTTTTTTTGGATTTTCTTCTTTGGCGCAAATTCGTTTGTTGAAAAATTGAAATTTCTGATTCTCCGGTTTTCCGATTCTCGTTTTTTTGAATTTCCGATTTCTTTGTTGAAAGATCCAAAATACTTTTTTTTTCTTTTCGGAATATTGCATGGATGTCGCGTCAGTCCCGCTCAGGTCAGGACTTATCTTTGAGTCTTCCACTGCGCTACTTTGTGCCATTTTGTATGTATCAGGATGTACATTGCTTGTTGATGTTTTGCGTACATTGCATTGTCCATTCAGCTCTTTTTATCACATTGCGGATCCTTGCCTCCATAAGCATTGCCCAACCGGGCATGTATCAGTTGCTATTGGAGCCCCGGACGTGAATCAGGACAAACCTGATCTGACACGTGTGCAGGGACCATCGACTGATTGATTGATTGATTGATTGATTAGGTCATACTAATTCATCCCCAAAATTACTAATTTTTTATCTAACTGCCAAAATCGATTTTTTTTGGATTTTCTTCTTTGACGCAAATTCGTTTGTTGAAAATTTGAAATTTCCGATTCTCCTGTTTTCCGATTCTCGTTTTTTTGAGTTTCCGATTCTCATTTTTTTGAATTTCCGATTTCTTTGTTGAAAGATCCGAAATTCTTCTTTTTTTTTTTCGGAATATTGCATGGATTTGTGTAGTGTTTTTGAATTACGCAAGTAGCTGAAGTTCAATTTTCCTTGTTCTGGATTTTTTTTGGCAGTTACTTCACTTTTGCGCTAATTCGTTTCTTTTTACGGATTCACGCATCCAAGTAATAACGGAAATTCCGAATTGCATTTTTTTTGCTATTTTCCGTTGTTTCAACGACTCCGAGAATTTTCTTTGAATCTATCTGCATTGATTTTTGTTTTCATGCATTTTAATGGTAACGGAAAAGTTCAAAATTCGTTGTTTTTTTCGTTACTCCCTACCAGCCGGGCCGCCCGGGTCACCCTATTTTCCCGGGCGGCCCGACCGTGCAAGGACTAGGGAAGGTCCCAGCCAAAAAAAAAAAAACACAAAAAAATCCAAAAAATCCGAAAAAAAATTACGTTATGCAGAAAAATAAACTGAACAACGTTTGCCTTAGGGTCACATCGAAATTCTTTACCAAGTTTAAGATAAAAAATTTAATTAAAGAATAATTTTTATTATTTTTTATTTTTTTATTTCTTTTTTGCCCGGCTGGGCAAGTGGACCCGGGCCACTCTGGTAGCCTTGGTTACTCTGAGATTCTAAATTTATTTTTTGAAAAATCTCTCGTTTTGCAGTCAATCTTTTCGCTGCGCATACTCTCATCTGATTAATTCCCAATATTTTTTATTTTCGGAATTCCTTGGAACTTTTTCTTTCGCAGTTCTATCATTATTATTATTTATTCGTTATTATTATTATTGTTAATCATTTGTAGTGCAAGGAAGATGAGCAATAGCAAACTTTAGCAATCAAACAGCATCATACACATAAGACCAGATAGTCGTGACCTCAAACCAACAGCAGAATTGCATCACGAGCTTCACCAAATAAGAGCACACCAAAATCTCATAATTGACAATCCTGGAATAGTCTCATCATCATCATCAACGAAGAACCAATGTTGATATCCTATGTGCTCAGCGCCCAGACTACAGATGGAAGATCCTATCTAGCCTAGACTACAATGCTGAAGATGATGACAACAGCTCTCCTGAAGTACGGGCAGATAGCGGCCAATGCCGCACGCTTCCAGCACCACTTATGTCTCTCGCTTCATGCTGCTGCGCTGGGCCTGTCCCAAGAAGCTTCCGGTAGGCCCCGGTAGGCTGAGGCCCAGTCCAAACAAATCAGGCCCAGGGCCTGTGGTGGTTACTTGTGCCCAACTGTCCTCGGCCTGTGTTTGGCCCATATTCCGTATCCAGCCCAGGGCCGGCCTTCCATACATGCAAACAGGCGGCCTGGGCCTGGGTGCTCTTCAACCAACTGGCGCTGCGCAACTGCCTGAATTTTCCACAGTTGTGCGGTGACCGAAATAGGGTCCCTCAAGCCCTCGTCGAGCCTGCCTTCACTTAGGGCGGCCGACGTGCTGCATAACAGAGCGAAAAAATGGCTCATCGGGGCCTTGGCCTCGCATTCCCTTCTCCATAACTTTGATAGTCCTATGAGAAGTTCAGTCTTTGATAATCTGGCGCTTTCCCTTCTGCAGAGACTTTTCATATTGGGCGACAACCTGAGGAGCGGTCTGCATCAGTTCCTCCCTGGTAAACCATCGATCCTCCTTTGGATCCGTGTGATGTCTGAACCGAACCCGGTATTGCAGCTTCGGTTTCGGAGGACGTCCCGTGCCTGTCGGTCATGGAACTGGCATTTCCTTGTGGTCAACGATGTCATCGATGTCGACCTCTCCATCCATGGTTGGGGGCAGCATTGAGCGACGATAGGGAAACTGATCAGTTTCCGCGAAAGGCGCAAACTTAGAGGAGTGGAAGACAGGATAAGTGCGGAGATGACCAGGGATCCGGATTACATAAGACGGTCCATCCGGATCAGTCCCGCAGTCCCGACAATGTCTAAGACCTCCCATGGCCCAAAGTACTGAGGCATGAGCTTGCGGGAAATCCCGTGCTCCTGTCCCAGTTCTGAGGACTTAACCCAGACTCTGTCCCCAACCTGAAATTTAGACGGGCGGCGATGTTTGTTCTCAGATTCTATCATTGCATTTGTTCCATTGCCTGCTGCATCTTCTACTCATATCGGTATGCAAATTCTAAAGTACCGGGTGCAGCAGTTGACTGATTTTCAGGTAGTAAGAAGTCTAGAGGCAGCCTAGGTTTGAAGGTCAGTAGCAGACTGTTAGGGCTCACTCCGGTGGTGCTGTGCACACCATTGTTATACAGACTGGGGATGAGAGCAAGCTTCTCGTCCCAGTCGACCTGATTGGGCTTGATGTAATGCCGCAATAGGTGTTGGACAGTGCGATTCAATTGTTCAGCCTGGCCATTGGCCCCGGGGTGATTACCCGAAGTCGTCTGCAGCTGCGTTCCCTGTTCGGCAGCAGCAGCCTTCCACAATTCACTGGTGAATCTAACATCCCTGTCACTCACGATTGACTTAGGCAGACCAAAATCTCTGACCCAATTGTCCTTGGACAATCTGATCACGTACTCGGTCTTTGCTGTTTCCGGCATGGCAATTAACCTAGCGTACTTGCTGAACCTATCCACGATAACGAAGATGTGTCTCATTCTGCTCCTGGTGGTGACCAGCGTCTCCATGAAGTCCATGGATAAGCTCTCATCGGGCCTTTCCAGAATTGGAAGGGGTTTCAGGAGCCCAAGAGGAGCTTGAGTACGTGGCTTGCCTCTCTGACAGACCTGACAAGTCTCCACGTACAGCTGGGCATCTCGCATCATCATGGGCCACCAGAACCTCTGCAGCAGATTGGCTGCTGTCTTTTTATATCCAAAATGGCCGGTGGCATCATGACACTCACCTAAAAATAAACTACGCAATGACTCTCTATTTGGGACACACAATCGTTTATTCCCTGCCTTCTCAAGGAACAGCAAGCCATTGACCAACTCAAACTCGGCAGAAGTCTTCTCATCCGTTGCCTCAAGTCTGCGTATGATCTCAGACACGAACTGATCCTCGCGATAGGCTTCCACCAAAGAGCGAGTAACATCGTCCGTAAGATCGAACTCAGTAATCAATGCACCTGAGAAATCAGGTCTACGCGACAGCGCATCAGCAACCTTGTTGTACTCGCCCTTGATGTATTGGGGCTCGAAGTCATACTGCTCTATGACTTCAATCCAACGCTTCAAAGCGTCGGAGAGCACAGGTTGGGTTCTCATCCACTTCAGGGTCTGATGATCAGTCCTGGCGTAGAAGAACCTCCCAAGGAGATAGTGCCTCCTATGGGTGAGTGCCTTGTTGATCGCATAGAGCTCCTTCTCATAGGTGGACTTCGCCAACTTCTGAGAGGGCATTTTTTTGGACATGTACTCCACTGGCCTCAACTTCTTCGCCTCCTGCCGTGCAAGTGCGGCCCCTATGCCATATTGGCTAGCATCCGTAGTTACTATAAATGGCTTGCCAGGATCAGGAAGTTTCAAGACCTCATGATGTGTCAACGCATGCTTTAAATGTCTGAAAGCAGCCTCGCATCTGTCTGTCCACTCCCATAGGGCATGAAGGTGAGTTAGATCAGTCAAAGGGGCGGCAACTATGCTATAGTTCTTCACAAAGTTGCGATAGTAGTCGGTCATCCCTAAGAAAGACCTCATCTCAGTCACAGACTAAGGACGCGGCCACTCACGAATGCTGGCCACCTTCGCGTCATCGGGCTTTAATACCTCCGCGGAAATCTCATGACCCAAGTACAAGACACTCACCTTTGATCTTGAACTTGTGTTGTCGCTGAAGACTAAGGACTTTGTCCAAGTGAGCAGCGTGCTCCTCGACATTCTTACTAAAAATAAATATGTCATCGAGGTACACGATGACAAACTTATCCAAGTAGTCATGAAATATCCGATTCATAGCGTGCTGAAAGGTGCCAGGAGCATTGCAAAGGCCGAAAGGCATCACCACAAACTCGTACAGACCGTAGCTGGTCTGAAATGCGGTTTTGTGTTGATCCTCGGGCCAGATTGCAATCTGATGGACTTCAAATCTATCTTACTGAAGTACCGACACCCTTGCACTCTATCTAGCAAGTCATCGATGCGCGGTAGGGGCTCTCCGTTCTTGATAGTGATGGCATCGAGGCCCCTATAGGCAATGCACATCCGAAGTGTTCCTTCTTCTTGGGTACAAATAGGACTGAAGACCCATAAGGAGAAACACTCGTCCGGATCCAACCCTTTTCTACGAGTTCCTTGAGTTGTCGGCGAAGCTTATCAAGCTCGCCTGGAGACATCCGATAGATCCTACCCTTTGGAATGCTAGACCCTGGGATAATCTCTATTGCGTGGACGACGTCCCTCTCAACAACCCTTGTCGGCTCTTCAAATAGATCAGGGTATTTAGCAATTACTCCCTCTATCTCAGGCGACATTTTCACCGGCTTGCCTGCAGCAGAGACATGAACTAGATACATACCCTCCTTCTGATTTTGCTAATAATAATTATAGAACGCGGCCGCACACATGCATCCATAGGACTCGATCAGACTACTAGCTTTGAACTTACATAATCTCATGGTCCCTCCACCTGACAAAATGTGTTTGACCACTTTTCGGCCCCAGTCAAACTGGGGCTGTGCCACAGAGAGGTAGTACATACCTAACAAGATATCCATGGGGAGTTCATCGCTCACTAGGAATGAAACATGATGTCTCAGTTCCCCTCCCGGGTACGGGAAACAACACTCAACATTTTGGAGGTAGTCATTGACTACCATGCGCTGTTTGTTGGCACAGGTTGACTCCACAGGTCGACTCGTCCCTGTAAATGCAGCCTCTCAACGCACGCGCGATGAATGAAGTTCCGTGTCGAGCAAGTGTCATAATAGGCCCCGGCCTTGCGGCCGCCAATGACCACCTCGCTAACGAACATCTCACCCTTAGGGAGTTTGACCAATGTTGTCCAAGAAGCTCGCGGGTCTGATCTAGACCACTCCTCCTCTAGCTCCTTTAAGGACTAACACATTCATCGAATAGAGGCTAGATGGGTCTGAACGTGTTTGCGGGACGACGCTGGAGTCAGTAGCTTGGGCCATCTCTCGAGATGGTGAGGGTGTGTCCACCACCTCGACCCTAGCAGGAAAAGCTACTATTCCTACTGGCCCAACGTGTTTCCCAGAGCAGTGCCAGAAGTGCTAGCCACATTGCTACCAACGGGAGTGGAGGATCCCAACACCTGCCCCATCGTAGGCGGGATCTTCTCGGTCACCTTCTTGTTTCGGCACTTGAATTGGTTATGCCATATTGGCCACAACGGATACAAGCGTGTCGTGTCTACCGGTCTTCCCACACGTCCTCTGTGAGACCCGCTTTCTCCCATGGAGGAGCATTGGGGTCAACTTGACTCCTTGACCGGGAACCTCCACGGCATCTACCGGTCGGTCGCCTTACCTTTCTGTGCTACGGCAACGACTACTCCACCCCCTGGAGCTTCTACGCTGCCAGCCACTGAACCTTCTCCCTCCTGGAAGTTGTCATTTAACTCGATGGTTGAACCATCGTTATCGACAACATTATGCGACCTTCGCCTTCCAGTTGGGAGGCAGTGTCTTCTTCCTTCCATCCGTCGTGGGATTATGTCCATGCTCTATCTTTGCCTCAAGGTCTAGGGCCTTCTTACTGAACGAGGGAACGTTGTGCATATTGATGTTGGCCTCACTTGCCAACTGATTCCTGAGAGGCATGGGAAAGCATCTCAGGTAGGAGGTGAGTAAGACCTGGGGGTCATAGCGCACCCCAGGGACACAGATCAAACGCTCTACAGCGTCAGTGGCCTCTCTTACTGACTTGAACTGCCTTGTGTGCAGTGTCAGGATTGCGTGAGTGGCCTTTTGGGCTTCCTGAGGATCGTGCCACCTATCTCCCACCATCTTGAGAAAGTCCTCCAGTTTCTGGTGGGCTGCCCAAGCGCGGAAGTCATGACCATATCCCTGCAGGTGCACTAAACCACTCAACCATCGTGTTGCACTCCCCTCTAAATAGGAGGCAGCCACAAGCACTTCCTCATGCGGCAAGGTAAGTTTGCACTTGACGTAGACCGACACTGCCCTCAACCAAGTGTCGAGGTCTTGCCTCTCTTATCCCCTGTGAAGGGTTTAGGAGCGACAATGGCCGTCTTTGGTACCCACTGACTTTGTCTCGGTCCCTGCATCACTCCGGGTTGTGGACCCTGTGGTACAGGCTGCTGTACTGACTGCATGGGTTGTGTACCCTGCGGCTGTACAGGCTGCGAGATAGCAGGCTACACACTTACTGCAACCTGCGACGAAGGTTGGGTAAACACTGTCTGTACAGGAACCTGTAAACTAGGACCTGCTGAGAGCCCTCCTGTTAGCTGCATACCCAGGTAGACAGGTGAACCGATACTGGAGCGGTATATGGGGATACCCCAGTCACCGATGGAACAAAAGGAGGAGGATGTACAACGGGCCAGGCACCAGGCCCGGACAGTGATTGTGCCGCCTGCGCTCGTCGGACCAAAACGGCCAGACTGCTGAATGTCCTGTAAGATTGTCGTCTGCTGGTCTTGCATCTCTACTACTCCTAACAAGACCGACCTCATGGCCCTCACCGGATCATCCAACTCCGTTGGGTCCATCTCCTCTAACTCACTAATGTCCGCTTGTCGCCGCTGCAACCTGGCTCTTCTTCTAATCATTCTTTCTTTTTCTGCCTTAATCTCTCCTAAAGCCTTCTGTAGCTGTGCCTCTTGCAGGGCAGCCTGCTGTATGGCGATCTCTTCGGGTGACAACACCGCTGGCTGGCTTGCCATAAGTCCAGTCGATTGACTCTGGGTCTACGCGACCGTTGACCCTACAGATCCTGATCTACCAGCCTGAGAAGTGTGCTTTGCAGAAGTGGCCATGGCTTCCGAAGCTGCGGCTTCGCTTACTAGCTCCCTGCTAGCCTCTGCTGCTCTAGCTCTCCTCGGCTGCTGCCGCCTCTCCCTAAGCTGGCGGAACAGATATTTGTCGCCCTCTGGTCCTAAGGCCAAGTGGGCTATCGGACATCTAGCCAATCGCAAGATCCGGTCGTCCTTACTAGTGGTGTCCCTATCTCATATGCTACAGAACAGCACACCGTCTACACTAGGACACACAATGGATGCCTACCGCAGCGACATGTACAAACCGATATGAATAATCGGCAGCTGTATTAGAGACTAAACGTTCGAGTCCAGCAGGTAAGTTCAGATTCCTACAAATAATAATATATTCTACTTTGACTAGCTCGCAAACACAAAGCACAATGAACAAAATCAGTTCTAAACTATGCTGTCTGTCAGATGTCAATGGCAGTACATCTAACTAATCAAAATAAAAATAGCATCATTTGTTGGGCCTGTTTGCAGCATGGGATCTTACTCAAACTTATCACCTGGAATCTACCCCATCCCTAGTTCCCCTTGATTGTCATTTGACGTCAGCGTCCCTAAGCAATCCGGTTTAGCGTGCGTGACTAAAGGTGTGCACATGGCCCGCCCCTGTGCCCCGAGTATCTGCTGAGCTGGCCAGCCCTGCATCGTGTTTATCCTCGCGTGCAGCGAGCCTTACACCAATTGGCTGATCCAGAGGCAATTTAACGACCGCCCCCAAGTGTCATCAGGAATTATTTTACGTCGCAGCATGACGACGATCACAGCCAATGGTTTCCCCAGCCGGTGTTTATTTATAGATGCGCGGTACTCGTCTCTCCCATAGGGCTGGCCTGCCCTTCAGTACCCCTTCTATGAGCGCAGCAAGCAGACAAGGACAAAGCAGCAAAGCATGCGTGCTCTACTCCCGGTGGGTTGGCATGGTGACCGTAACCCAGTGCTCCGTCCAGGACCCTTCAGAAAGCATCGCCCTCTCCTTCTAGATGCTCCACGTGAACAACACCGACTCTCAAGGTTGAGCGCACACGACACCTCACATGAGAGGACCTTCAAGAAAGAACTCACAACCTCACGGTAAGAAGTGATGAACAGGGTAGATAAGGTTAAGAGCAACGTACCTCATTATAGATGCCCCCAACCACAGATACTCTCACCAGATGAGCTGATTGCGATTGCGATGACCAGTCACTGCATCGGCTCAACCAGCATTATCTCGCCGTTCCACCTCAGCATCAATCAACCACCAGATAGTTCTCATCACACTGCGAACACCCCATATACAAACCGTAGCCTTCCTGGCAATTCCCCTCTCCTCCTGGGTCGCCACACCTTGTCTCCGCCCTCCTCACTACACACCACTTACGGCCTCACTCACCAAGCAGACCGCGCGTATGTACCGCATAGGCAGAAGACAAGCGCCAGATGAGCACAACGTACCACAACTCCGATACCAAATTGCAAGGAAGATGAGCAATAGCGAACTTCAGGAATCAAACAACATCATACACATAAGACCAGATAGTCGTGACCTCGAATCAACAGCAGAATTGCATCACGAGTTTCATCAAATAAGAGCACACCAAAAACTCGTAATTGATAGTGCTGGAATAGTCTCAAAATCATCATCAACGAAGAACCAATGTTGATATCCTATCTGGCGCTAGGCGCCCAGACTACAGATGGCAGATCTTATCTATAGCCTGGATTACAATGCCGAAGATGACGACAACACCTCTCCCGAAGTACAAGCAGATAGCGGCCAATGCCGCACGCTTCCAGCACCAGGT